TACAAATAGCCCAAGAGAAAAATGCACAAAGGTCAAGAGCAATTTACAAAGGAAGAAATACAAATGGCCAATAAAATTGGCAGGGAGACATCCAACCTCATTTAGCGCTCATCCGTGCAAGCCCAAACAGTTTGATGTCATTCTTTCCCCACTGTCTGAATGACAGAAACAGATGTGGGGAAGCATAGATTGTTATAGCCTCCCCAAAGCACACATACCTGTCCTTTGACCCAGCCATCAATTTCTAGAAGTTTATCCCAAATCAGATCAGTGGGAAAAGATTTTTGTAAGAGTTCTTCACGCTGGGGCACCTGGGTGGCACAATCGGTTAAGTGTCCAACTCTTGCTTTCGGCTCAGGTCGTGATCTCAGGGTTGTGAGATCGAGCCTCCACATCAGGCTCTGTGCTGAGCTGAGAGCCCACTTGAGATTCTCCTTTCCTCACCCTCTGCCCCTCCCACTAGTGCTCTCTCTCCTAAATAAAGAAATCTTTAAAAAAAAGAGTTGTTCATGCTAAAAAATTGAACACAGCCACTTGTCATCACTAAGTGGTTAAATTCTAGGGTGTCAATACAATATGCTATGATACAGTACTATGGGACTCTCAAAGGTTGCCGTCATATCCATAATGGTTGACACTGACTACTTCTCATGTGTTGCTAAATAAAGGGAGCAGGGTACAAAATAGCATCTTCAGTGCGATCCCACTTTTGTGACTGTTCTCACAGACACACACACGTGCTTGTGTGTGCAAGCAAGCCTTGCTCTTAGGAGGGACACATCAAAACATTGACAGTAGATGTCTCAGGGGGGTGGAATTGCTGGATTTCTTTTTTTCATTTAACTTTTTTCGAAACTTTTTCTATAGTGAGTGTGACTTTTATGATTTTGAAAAAGTTATTTTATTTTATTTTGTTATTTGACAGAGAGAGACACAGCGAGAGAGGGAACACAAGCAGGGGGAGTGGGAGAGGGAGAAGCAGGCTTCCCGCAGAGCAGGGAGCCCGATGCGGGGCTCGATGAGGGGCTCGATCCCGGGACCCCTGGGATCACGACCTGAGCTGAAGGCAGACGCCCAACGACTGAGCCACCCAGGCGCCCCTTGAAAAAGTTATTTTAAAACATTATCTAACACAAAGTGATAATAAATACAAACTATAAGAAGAATAAATGACCTTTGTAAAATGGTTCTCTTAGCACCTACCTGGGCTAGGTAGCAAATGCCTGCTGAAGGATTGTTGGCTCACTGACTATGCGGTTTGAAGACAGTGTGTTACCTCAGCTGGGGCATTCAACTCTATATTCCTGACCAAAAGTAATCTGCCCAGATTTTGGGTCACCTTACTCTCAGGCAGATGCTGCTGGCTGGGCCAGGCAGAGTGTTTGATGTTTCCTCCAGGTTGCATGCTCCATGAAGTGCACGTGAACTTGGGGTCTCTGGAGGAGGCTCCGGACTGATTGCAATACACAGGTGACAGTCGCAGCCTCTGATTCTGATTATGAGCTTTTAAAGAGACCAAAACCCAGGGGTAGTTTCTTGGGGCCCAGCTTACTTTATTAAGCAAACTTATCCCTTACTTTAAGCAGCAGCTAAAAAATGGGACTGTGGCTTGTTTGCGGAAGGTAACCGCCAGGAGCACCCCTGCCAGGTAAGCTAGGGTTTGCAGGCCTAGGGGTGGCCCGCCTAGCTCCCAGGAGGCCTAAGTCTGGCCTTCCGCTCTAGGGACCACAGCTCATCGTGCAGGATCTGGAACTTCATTTTCAAAGCCCCATAAAACCTGTGCCTTCTTCCGGGCCTGTCTTTTCTGGGTTTCATGGCTCTCGGCGGAAATGAAAGCTGGTGTAATTGTGACACTCCAGTGATTGGAGCAGCGAACACGAGACATTAGGATGCTCCCATAGGGTGTAGCATGGAGCTTTAGAGAAAAACTGCACTCAGGGTGGGTTTTCGGTGCCTTGGTTCTCCAGGCCTCGTTCCGGCTGGTGGGGCCTCTCCCCTTCTCTGTCACTGCAGACCAGATGGGGTCCCAGGAAGAGCCCGCATGCCTTGCTGGAGCGGGGGCTCAAAGAGCCTCTTCCCATTACTTCTTCCTTCAAATGCTTGGTCTTAAGGGGTCCCTCTGCGCCACTCAGCCCAGTGCCTGTCCGCCTGGCTGCAGATAACACCACTGGAGCTTGTCGTGTGTGGGTTGAAAAGAATTTATTTTTTTTAATTTAAGCCTTCACATCCCATCTGCTTACACACTCTTAACCTGCTTTGTGAACAAGCTTTGTGACCTCTGCAGGTTACTTCGCTGTGCCAGCTCATGTCTTTCTCCATGAAAGGTTTTGGAGAACACTCAACCAGATGAGATAAGTGGAGTCAAGTGCCCAGGCGCTAGGTGCTCTGGAATTACCACTAATAGGGACCAGGGTCTGCCTCTCGCCAAACACTCTGCACAAATTGTTTTATCCATCCTTACAACAAAGAAGCCAAGTATTCTTTTTTTTTTTAAAGATTTTATTTGAGACAGAGAGAATGAGAGAGAGAGCACATGAGAGGGGGGAGGGTCCGAGGGAGAAGCAGGCTCCCTGCCGAGCAGGGAGCCCGATGCGGGACTCGATCCAGGGACTCCAGGAT